TACTCGCGAGTGACGCCTGAGCATCCAAGCAACAGATGCCCCCACCCCCCAGTTGCTCCCATATTCAGCCATCTGTTAGCTTATGTCTAATAAATCGTTTGATAAGTGCCTGTTTTCAAGCGCTTCTTGTCGATTAATCGCGTGATTATATCTTTTCCCCCGGAAATACTGCTCTTAAAAACAAGGAAACTTCACCGGATAGTCGAAAAGGTTCAGTCACGAGCACAGCTGTGCGCAATCGCGCGCACAATTGGGATCAATGCGGGGGCACGTGCGACTCGCGAGACCCCGTCTGTCAGTGGCCGGTCGTAACAATAGACCCCCACTGAGCTGCGGCTCGCCACGCACGACGACTGGCGGGCGTTTCTCGTGCTTTGGCATTTGTAGTTAAAAGTGTGCAAAATGACCAATATTTACATAAGATTTGTGAAGCCTAATAAAAGACGTAAACTCACGTCACGTGGACTACGCGTTTGATTCAAAGGGTCTACTGAAAAGTTAGGTTGTACGTGTTTAAAGTTTAAACAAAAGACAAACAAACAAACAAAAAACGACATTGAAAGCAAAGCATAAAAGCAATTAGTCACAAGCCAAATGTATCATTGATAATCTAGTAACTAGACGGTGTAGCTGATTACATTTCCAAATGGATTCTCATAGCAGATCTAAATGTGTCTCGATCGCAGGACCAATCGACTCAGTAATCAGATTGCCGACTCCTTGGGGCCAAATATGACGCTAAAAATTGAAGGAAACAATTGAATGAGTGGTTGAACAGCGCACACACCTGCTCTCCGCACACCACGCTGTCAAAATCACTTAAATACGCACACAAGGAAGAGCGTCTCTTAACTCATTGAAGATCAAGCCCACACTGCGTTTAATGAAGTGGAAAATGTATAATCCAACCGACTAATGAAGAGATAGACAATCGATTACGATGGTTAACACACTCACGCAGTAGCAAACAGTCCAGTGGATTTTACGATTTCTGTGTTTTCAGATTTGAGGGCAACAACAAGAGATCTTCATTCACGTCAGATATGATTGGAAATCTAACAGTAAACTCCTGCGTAATACTGAAATCTGTGATGGGAAATTATTGAGTTTATTATTGAGTTTGAGTTATTTTTTCTTCTTTTATTAAAAAATAGCTTTAACATATATTTCAATTTGCGCGCAATCGTGGTACTTGTAGGCCTATAGGGGCATTCATTTTGCAACACAACTTAAAATTAGAAAAAAAGTAGGATAAGGCGGGATTAGCAGAAGATTGGAAAAATGATTAGTTTTGTTTTAGACATAAATATATTTTTAGATATAAGCAAAGTCACATTTGGGGAAAGAGTCTTATAAAATCTGACCACAGGAAGGGTGTGTGTAGGCTATAAGATGCTAAATAACATTTCATGTGCTCCTTAAACTGCTACCAAGTGTTTTCAAGTTCCTCTTTGTTGGCCGCTGTGCGTTTCTGACGTCCTATACACCCATCCTTTCGTAGTTCACGGACTTTATGATTTAAAAAAAATTGTTACGCATGTACCCTGTCGCACTCTCTCGCTCGCTGCACATTTGCCAAAACTTCTGGTCACGAGCACGCCACGCGCGTTTGGATAAGTTGACGGTGGGTGGGGCGGCAGAGGGAGGGACTTGCCCGGTTAAAGGCAAAAAGAATATCAGCCCGATCGTGTCATTTGGAGATGAAAGTTCCAAGCGTACTCATGGCCATCTGAGGGAGCAGAAGATTAAGGGACACTGGCCGGTGCGCGAAGAAAGAAACACAGCAGTTGTGGACTTATCACTCTTTTATTAGTCTGTTTAACATTTAAAAATCTGTTGTGAACGAAGCGAAAACGGATCCCGAACAGGTGAGTTGACATTTTATGTCCAAGTCTTGCGAAAGAAATTGAAAAAAAAAACCATACGGCTCACATTAGAGCTAATAAATTTAACACATGCAATTTTTGCAGAAAAAAACTCTTAAGCTTATTTACAGCTGTGAAAACCTTTCAAATCACCCAAAGCATCATCCTATTATTTACAGTTTGATCTTTTTCATGTTCAGTGGGATGTACAGTAAAGACAGAATTACGAGCCCAAAGTTCGCTCTACAAGTTACTTTAAATTGTCTCACAAAGTAGGACTTTTTTGCACAACAATAACAAATATTCTTCGTTTCACTTAACATTAAAGTACAAAATAACATTTAAAATATGATTTTGGTGATATAGATTGCTCTGCAAAAAGTATAATAATAATAATAATAATAATAATAATAATAATAATAATAATAATAATAAGGAAGGTATTCTAACAGAGAAGTGTGTGTGTGTTGGGGGGTTGCATGTTTGTTGATTTGTATGTTGCCTGTTTAATCTTTGAGCTTTATATACTGAGTAAATCCCGTGGTGTCCCAGATTGACAGCGTCTCTGAAAGACTGGAGAATAACAGCAGGGAACCACTCATCCATCTCATTCTGAAAACAGCCATTTATTCATTAATATCCAAATTTCACAGTGAGATTGATTTTAAATAATTACTGGATTTATTTCAGAACTGTTATGCGACAGAGGTGCTTGCACTTCACATAAGTGATCTGTCCATGCTGCCCTGCTGAAATGAGAGCACTCTCAGTCAGTGTGTGCTTCTTCTGGTACCCATCAGTTATAAATAATAATACAATTTTATCACGTTGTGGGGGAATAGCCTCGAGGATTTACATTCACAGACACTGAATCCCAAAGTATTGAATTTGTTGTGTGGGCTCTTTTTCTTTAGATCAAAATGATGACCAAGTCATTTGGGAAAAGTGGGGATGTGAGTGAGCTGGTGAGCTCCCTCAGCTGGCTCGATGATGACGGCAGCTCACAGGATGGAGATGAAAGCCCAGAATTGACGGGGCGCCATGGCCTGACTGTAGGGGGTCGCCTCCACTCCTGCACAGAACTGGGTAGTGAGGATATGGAGGAAGAGGAGGAAGAGGAAGAGGACGAAGAGGATGGACCAAATGGAGAAAATGCTCCCAAAAGGAGAGGCCCTAAAAGGAAGAAGATGACCAAAGCTAGACAGGAGAGGTTTCGTGCACGGCGAATAAAGGCCAATGCCAGAGAACGTTCTCGTATGCATGGGCTAAATGATGCTCTGGATAATCTGCGCAGAGTGATGCCTTGCTACTCTAAGACACAAAAGCTGTCGAAGATTGAGACTCTGCGGCTGGCCCGCAATTACATCTGGGCTCTATCGGAGGTGCTAGAAAGTGGCCAGTCCCCAGAGAGTCATGGATTTGTGGAGATGCTGTGTAAAGGTTTGTCCCAGCCTACCAGCAACCTTGTGGCTGGCTGCCTGCAGCTGGGACCCAGTCCGATGATTCTTAATAAGCTGGAAGACAAGTGCGGAGGTCCAGGAATGGGTAGTATGGTGGCTGGCCATCCCCTCAGCTACCCATCCCCAGGCCTTCCCAGCCCACCCTACGGCTCCCTCGAGGCATCGCACCTCCTCCAAATGAAAGGATTCAAGGGGCCTGTATATGACAACCCCTCCCCTAACGAGTGCAGCAGCAGCACTCCTCCATACGATGGGCCCCTCACTCCCCCTCTCAGCATCAGTGGCAACTTTGCCCTGAAGCAGGAGCCATCTCCGCATGAGTCAGAGAGGAACTACACACCCCACCATGCTCACTACCTCTCATCCCACCATTACCCCACGTCCACGACAGGCAGCCTACCAGGGGGGCCTCAGGCCCACCCACTTTTACAGGCTTCTCGCTACGAGTTGCCCCTGGATGTGGCCTTTGACTCCTTTGCTCCCCCTCACCTCATCACCTCTCACATGGGTACCATCTGAAATGTGATAGTACCAGTGAACGAGTGACTGTTATGAATAGAGTAGAAGCACTGCTCCTGTATAAACTGCTGTAAAAAAGGACGACTGTGGTACTGAGTGTATAGAGAAAAATGTTTGCTTTTATGTTGACTAGTACTCTGGGAGAGCACTGAACGCTCAGAGAGAAGACTCATCACCTCAACTCAATCTACCTGAAACATGCACCCATAACATTTATTACTGTATTTATTTCACTTTTGTTTATATGTTAATCTTCTTTTGAACACATTGCTCCGTCGGTTTTTAAAGAGTTGAAGTAAAAATTAGTTTACCAAATCAGACGTCCTCGCTGAAGCATTATTCAGATGCTTGTGTTTGAACAAATACTTTATTATTTACACGTCTACGCATAAAAAGAAATCGATCAAAAAGTCACCCATTGTGCACTGAGGCCTACAGCCAGTTTCCTTCTGAATTTAAGAAAAGCAATGCATTTATTTATACCTGTATTTAATATTTATTTTGATAATGTCTGTTTTATATTTCTCTCAGCACAGTTTCTGTTTCACTGTCTTGGGTCGATGCCAGCCACTGGTAGCTGTACTGTATTTAATTTATTTATTTTAAGTCTTTCAGGTACTTGTTCATTTGGTGTCACGATTTTTGTCATACTGTACTGTTAATATTTTGCTATTTCGCACTTAATTAAATAAATATTCTTATATTATATGCTATTTCCATAGTAACACGTGTGCCATGTCTTTTTGTGATGTTACGCTGTCATCCATTTCTTACATTTTAGTTTAACAGAAAGACAAACGCATGCACTAACTGGCTGTAAACACAAGCTTGGTACAGTGATGTTTTCATTCATTTAGATTTCTTTTTGCGTTTTAGTATTACACTTATATTATAAAGCACAGTAGATAACACAGAGATGACTCCTTTTGCTAAACCCTCACATCAGAGGACAAATTATTTTCATCAACTCGATTACAATTTCAGTTAAATTACAAGTTCTGGTTTTAAAAAAATAAATAAATGTGAGTCAGCGACAGCTGTTACATCACTCTCACTAGCTTTGTGCATCGTTTTAGATGCAGCATTTTCAGAATATCCCTGTAATCTGGTCACGATTACCAGCAGGTGCAGTATTGGACATTTTTCTGTACTCCTAAATGCATTTTTACATGCAAAATAAGTATTACACAAACAACACGAATAGCTAATTAGTATATTTAGATTTTTGCGGCTCTAAATCATTTTACAATAGAAGAGTGTGCCAACTAAAAAACAAAAAAGGGAAATCAGCAAGACTGGATGAAGAAGTACTTTGTGGCTGGGAAATAGAGATCTGTTGCATGATATGAGCGTGTGCATGTGTGTGTGAGAGAGAAAGAGTCTGTGCATGATGTCATTCAAAGGCTTGCTCCGGGGTTTCCATCAGGTCAGGCGGGAGGCTGTTGTGGGCCATGGGAAAACTGCTCCGAGGAACAGGTGAACCTGTCACAGCTCTGAGCCTCTATCGTTGCCTTTCTCTCCCATGTGTCCCATTTTCCCATGTAGCTCATGCCAAAACACTGAAGGGCACGAACTCATTTTCCAATAATTCATCCAGTTTTACTGAATGGTAAACTAGCCTGGGTTTTCTCTGAGACACAGCACATGTGTATGAAGGATGCTATATAGTAGCTAAGAAGATTAGCTTTTATGAATATTAAAATAATGCAGTCTCTACATACTGATGCCATAAATGGGTAAAAGTTCAGCAAAGCAGAACTAAGGATGCATCAATCCAGAGATAATGTAAAGCTGAACCTAAAACATTTCTATCACTCAACTAATGACCGGAGTATCAGTTTTGACTTTCATGATTGTGCTGAGGGACATGATGACTCTTGAAATAAACAAAGAACAGGGCGGCAGAGTGCAAAGATGAAGTGCATGAGTGTATTTATCCTTGTGGTCCTTTGGCCAATTGTAAAAGGGGAAAAAGGGGAAAAAAAGGGGGAAGGTGCTTTTGGATGCTGTTCCCTAAGAGGACTCCCCCTTCGTTTCCTTCAGCTACCCCTCCAAAGATTTGTCATTTCCAGTCCTGGCAACAGTGGAGAAGGTCTGGAAAAGAAAAGGGAATGATTGTTTTAGTGGGCGCCACTGGTCTATTGTGAACGCAGCCTGTTCTTTCTCTTGACCTGTGACCTGTATTGTTGTTGGGCTCCTCGTTTGGGGAGGTCAGACAGCTGGGGGAACGGTGGGGGGCTGATGGACAGCTGGGCCAATTTGGGGAGAAAGAGAGAAAGAGCAGAGAGTGAGAG